ATAAATATGAACAAGAATGGGACTTTTGTTTCTGGATCATCTATATCCAAAAGAGATCATGAAGAGGTATGCGTTTTTTTATCTAGAAGTTAAGAATCAGCAGAGCTAACTATATTGTATTTAACTTTAGGACGAGCATAAAGATCGAACAAAGAAGATGAAAACAATAGACTCGAAAATAGACGAATTTTTTTCCCCGGTGAAAACTCACGAAAACGTGAATATAGACCACGATAATGAGGAGGTTGCCTTAAAGCCACGGTGTCAACTTCCCGAAGAAGAGTTAGAAGATGGTCTTCTACAAGAAAGCCCTAATGCTATCGTCGATTATAAATTAATGATTAACAATGTATGTATCCGGTCAGTAATAGAGAAATGGCGCGAATCGTCAAAATATGTCGAAGAGATACATAAGCAAGAGTATGTATAATTGTTTTCATCATTTCCGCTATATGACTATACGCCTTAGATACTATTTCTATACTGATGGTTTTATTTTACAGCTTAATGCGCTACAATATTATTGACACAACCAGATCATCCGCTACAGAAGCACGAAAGCTCCTCAAAGATTATTGGGAAGATATCATCAGCACTATAGAGAAGTTTTTGATGTCTAGGCCAGATGCAACACCGGTTGATTCAGATTCTGACTCCGCTTCGGCTTCAACTGATCAAACCATGGAACAAGATGGGCGGGCAGAAGATATTAGGCAGTATTTAACGAAAATATCGAAAAACGTGGTAAGTGGAAATTAGTAAAGTTTGATTTGTTATGGTTTTTATGTTTTATGTTATTTTATCAGAACACCGCGAAAAGATTGTGTGATGTGATAATGGCAGAACGTGAGAAGTTACGCGCGGATGGAAATATAAAATGGAAGAAGCGGTCTTTGGAGTTGATGAAAATATTGTAAATATCCTGTGTGGTTTTTGTATTGTAATCGGATTTATGCTAACATTGAATTCATTGAACTTTTGTGTTATCATAGCCGGGAACAGTTCCCAAATGGCAGAAATTGCTTCAAAGAAGATCAAACCGAATATGACTACATTATTAGGTTTGTCTCTCGCGTCTATATCATGTTATTCAAAGATAGGACACTTTTTAAATGTAGCTGGTAAGTTTAGGTATGTTAGATAATGCTTTTTTCATACCTATTAGTCATTGTACGTGGTTTGTTTCAACAGGGGTGAAAAGACCTTGCGTTGTTCTGCCATTTTACTTAATCAATCACTGAAAGATGATAATCGACGGTGTTCTGGAAACAAAATCGATGCGATCATGTCAATTTTGGATCTTGATTTAGAGTTCTCAACCTTAGAAGCCTCGGGATCCCCATCAAGTCTTGATCATACTCACTATGTTGGGGATAGGAATAAAACGGCCAAGATGCTTAAAATTATCTTGAATTACATATTTATCAAATACCACTTACATCAACTGTACTAACTGAGAAAATATAACTAACTAAATTAAATGGAAGTGGAGAAAGTCGTAGCATGAGAACAATTTTCCATCCTATAATATTTTAAAGTAATATAAGCGTTTATTATTCGTTTAAGTTCCAAAAAAATATGTATATACAGTATATACCTTCTTCAGCAATAACATTATTAATGACATTATTGAATTCGGAAAATGATGGCCTCTTTTCAATTTGTCCCTTAACCCAATCTGAAAAGACATATCTTCCAAAAAAAAAGGTACCCGCCGCTGCCAAAGTATCACCCATTATAATGACTAGTCCTGCTAGTATTGGAGGCTTGAATAGGAACCCTGCCGCTACACTTATTATTGATCTATAAACATTGTAATTATTTATTGCATAATATATAGATTAATTTGAAATTCGGATATCGATTACCAGAATAAAAATATATCACGTGAAATAGTTACCCTGGTAAAAACACCCATACACAGACAACATAGATAGATAAATATATAGCAATTCCATAATTTTTATGTATTTCAATGTAATGAAGGTAGTCCTTGATGTGATTTTGGACTTTGAAAACCTAAAGTTATTATTTGACAAATATGTAATATAAAGGATCAATAAACAGTCTTACTATTAACCAAATTATTATTAAAAAAGTGATTCTACACTTACAGCCAAAAGAACAACGACAAGCGTGATAAATAACACTAACAAAACTAATCTAATAAAATTTGTTATAGTGCATAGGTTCGATCTTTCGTTTTTTTTATTATTCAGCTCTCTTGTTATAACGATTTGGTCATCGCCTCCAGCAGTTAAACTACTTTCTTCAGACGTTAGTAGTGTACTTGTTTCATTATAGTCGTCGCCAATATCTTCAGGATATTCAACTGTAGCTTGCAAGTTATTAGCCATCAAGTTTATATTATTGTTTGTTGAAAGATCACTAACCGGATCTTCGTTTCTTGGTATGTCCGGTATCATTCTTTCATTTATATGATAAACTTCGGTAAATAAATCATCTTAATTAAGCATCAAGATGAAATTTAGCCACAAAAAATCACAATAAAGCAAAATTAGGAAAAGAGAGTTATTAATTTGGGTTGAACTCAGAGTGAATTACTCTTTTGGGGAACGCCCAAAGCCCAGGTGCAGTTATACAGTTGGGGTTAGGGCATGTATCAATATTGTTTATTACAGTATTGTATGTCCATTAGTAAGCACACTCATTTCATATTTTCATAATCTGCTTTACGTAGAATAACAGCGTTAGTGGCGTCGCCATACTAAAAGTATCAGGTAAAAGATTGAAAGTTAAAATTTTTACGTTACATCAGATCTTGAGGCTTGATTGGATGTTCCATTTAAATCGTATCATGTTGAGGCTTTATCGTTATCTGTTATCTGTTATTAGTTATTTGAATTCACCTTATATTTGGCCTTTATCACGTGTATATGATACTAAAGTTTTGTATTATCGTTATCGTTTAACATTTACGCTAGTGTAAAGTAAATCACATGAAAATCAAATAAACAATAATGAATAACTAGGATGACGCAAGTTACAATATTACCAAGAATGGTATCTTAATAAAATGGCATATTTCTGTACGTATTACTCAGTAACAGTTTTTTTTTTTTTTTTACGTACGTATTTACAAATGTTAAATTTTTATTACAAATGATAGAATTTTTGATGTGTAGTGATATATAGATGTGCAATTTTTCACTAATACTATATAATAAAAATGATGGTGAATTATGTTCTTGATATACTAATGATTAAAAAAATTATATATAATACTTTTGGTGAATTTTTTTCTTTGTATAAAACGTAAAAAAAAAAAGAAAAAAAAAAAAAAATGAATGCAAATTTATATCGATTACTACACATCAAACAGTAATATAGTCTAGTATCCTAGAAATCTTTTTTACCGTTAAAATAATTCTACCTATAAAAGAAATATGTATTGTTTAGGATAGTGATCTATGCGCCTAATATCTAAAATTCATGAAATTATCTCACCACGAAAGTTATATTATTATCCTATAGTTAAAATTATTTTACCGTGTTAACCCAGAAAAATTGTGCAAAAAAAAAAAAAAAAAAAAAAAAAAAAAAAAAAAAAAAAAAAAAAAGAAAAAAAAGGAGAAAAATTTTTAATTTTTACAAAAATAAATTAAAGTCCAT